CTGGGGTCCTCCGGGGCGCTGGACTTGCTGCTTCTCCATGGCCTTTTGGAGGCTGTCCCAGCCCCGGAGTGGCTCAGCTCTGTCTCTGCTAACCATAGAGATAACTGTAATAAGGATAAAGCTGCTTTCCGGGAATGCACCACCCGGGAGCTCCCTGCTGTGTGTTCATGTCTGTCGCTAGGCTTAAGGCTAGGGTTGGACACAGGCTGGAAGGAAGGCTGTGTCTAGACTACATGCCTCTGTCGTCAGAGCCATGTAGATTAGACACATAGGCAAAGGCAAATGAAGCCGCGATTTAAATGATCGCGGCTTCATTTACATTTACATGGCTGCCGCGCTGAGCCGACAAACAGCTGATCAGCTGTTTGTCCGCTCAGCATGCTAGTCTTAAGAAAGTCTACATGTTAGGGTACGTCTAAACTACATGCTTCTGTTGCAGAGGCATGTAGATTTGTTTTTTTGGCAAAGGCAAATGAAGCCGCGATTTAAATGATCGCGGCTTCATTTACATTTACATGGCTGCCGCGCTGAGCCGACAAACAGCTGATCAGCTGTTTGTCGGCTCAGCGCGGCAGCCATGTAAATGTAAATGAAGCCGCGATCATTTAAATCGCGGCTTCATTTGCCTTTGCCAAAACAACAAATCTACATGGCTCCGTCGACGGAGCCATGTAGTTTAGACGTACCCGAACTGTGTGTGGTGGGAACATTTCTTCATTTCACAAACCATTTGCAAAGGCAAGTACCAGAAAAGGAGCGACAGCAACACATTTCCCAACCCCCCAGCTCCGTATGTTTTCTTGCAGAGCTGTGTTTGACAGCGAGAACCCTGAGAAAAAGTCTGGAACTGAGCTAGAAATACAGTAAACGGGTGTCTCTGAACTCTGCCACGTTGGGAACTCGATTAGCCGGGTCTCTGGGAGGCTCCACGGTCTGGCTTTTGCCGTTCTGTTTGTTATTAGAGGAGACTAAATTCACTCCCTTGCCAGCCCATGCTGCAGCCTGTCTCCCGAGGCTCTTGCGTAAGAGAGACGGGTAGTCCTGGCCCTGCCGAAGAGAGCTGAGTGCAGGAGGAGGTGGGCGTTCAGTCGCCTCGCGGCCTGCTCCCTGACTCCTTTACGGTAACTAATCTGTGGGCAGCTGAGACATTTGCCCGGCTCTCCCGGACAGCCTGCTCGCCTGGCAGGTAATGCAATTGAGACAGTGTCCTCGATGGCACTGCAGGGACCATGCGTGGAACCTGGGCACCACAAAAAGCTGAATCTCGATGGAGCCAGCGTATCGATACCCGCACGTCACATTGTGTGGCTGATGCTTGTTTGCGAGCTGCTGTTTGCTTGTTTGAAACGATGTTAAAACCCCTGCAGAGCAGTTGCCCCCCCAAACGGCAAGCCAGCGAGGGCTGACGACGTGAACAGTCCCCTTCATTACACCAGCAGAGTGATTTTGAGGTTCAGGTGTTTAGTCGAGATGAATGTTTAAATCCCCTTCATGTTTGGCGGGTTTTTCCAGCCGTTAGCATCAAAGATCTCATTATGGCTAGATCTGAGGTAGAACCGCATCAAAGGGATGGGACCTCACGGAGAGACCTGGGTTGCACGGCTGATTTCTATAACAACTCGAGTGAAGGGCAGATGGGCGCGGCTTGGCTCGTCTGCTAACAGCGTCTGAGTGGTTTATTTTTAACAGGCAGTTCAGGGATGAATTAAGCTTGTGGAAGTTGTTGGCATTGGCTAGATCCAGGTGTAAACAGGCACCATAAACTCCCACTGCTTTCAAACCAGCCAGGGAACTCCTTCCTGCCGCCACGCTTCAGACTCGGCCAGCACTGCACAGGGTTCCTTGTTCCCCTGGCCCAGAGAGGCCTCTTTCTTCTCATGCCCTTGACAGAAGCAGCCAAGAGTCAGGCGTGAGGGCAGAAGACGAAGAGCCATGCACCGCCCGGCACGCGGGCCCAGCCCAGACCTCCCCGAACGCCACAGAGGCTTCCAGGGACTGCGGGGTGTGGGACCAGCGGCGAGCAGTGCCGTTGGTTCCTGTGGCCTTTGATGGCGTTGCCACAGGCGTGTTACTTCCACCTGCCCTTGGCCTCCGGGGGGCGCCGGGGGGGCAGCCAGCCGTGGTGCCTTGATTCAGGCTCCATTGCCCCGGCTGTGCCTGCCGGCTGTGGTGCCCAGACACAGGTCTCGTCTGCTCCCGGTGCCAGGGCCTCTCGGGCAGCTGGCACCCGGCTGCTTTCCGGCCCCAGTGCAGCACCAGAGCCCAGTGCCTGGGGTTTCGGCACGTGCCTCGGCGCTGCCGGAAGGGGGCCCGGGATGAGCCCATAGGCCCACGCTCATTCACCGCCTGCTCGGTGCTCTCGCTCCAGGGCGCGGGCAGGCTGGCCTGGAAAGAGCGCACGGCGATCGGCGGTGGCATAAATAGCACCCGAGCTGGGGCTCTCGGCAGGGTCCGGATCGGCCCCAGCAGCTCCCCTTGGCTCCTCATTCTGTGCCTCATTCTGCCTGCAGTCACCCACCCCAGGGCCGTCTCTGAGGGGCGCGGTGCCTGGGGCAACTCCCCCCCCAGGCCCGGGGCAGCTCCCGCACTGCAGGCCCTGCCCTGCCTCGGCTCCACCCCTTCCCCCAAACCCTGTCCCTGCTCCGCCCCTCGCCCAACGCCCCTCCCCCAAGCAATGTGGGCCAGAGGATAAGTGGGGGGCAAGCTAGGGGAGGGGCTCCAGGCCCCAGGTAATCCCCCGGGCCGTCCTGGGCCCCATAGGTCCATCCGTAGGACGGTTGAGGAGGCTGCTGCGGGGGCCCCGGC